TACAAGGGTGGACCTATGAAGTCCCGAGTGTGGTTTTGTGTACCGACTCAACTTATATGAAAGATGCATCCGCTAAACTTTGAGTGGTGCTAATAAATACTAGAAAATACAAGAAACATCAATCAAAAGATCGAAAAAGTCCATCGAAATCAACCACAAGACTGAAAAAGTCTCTCAAAATCAACAAAAAACCTCAAAAATCCCTTAAAACGATAAAATACGGCTAAAAGCACATCGGACGACTTTATGGACCTTTGATCCACTTTTAAAAGAAAAGCAAAATTTAAGCTAAAATTTTAACAAATTTGACAATTGTTAAACTCAAATCCGGACCCTTCCTGCAAAGGTAGAAGCGTTAACCATCTCCACCATCAAAGTCTTATGTTCAAATTTAAGTTTCAAAAACTATATGGTAGCACTCAACAAAATAATACAGTGACACCCTTTAAAAACATACTATTTTTCTCTTATGACGAAACCATAAAATGACGGTCCATGCCATCGTATCAATCAATGTAGGTCTACCTCCGCTTTTGATGGTATATGAATGTAAAATGGTTATTTTAAAGTGATATTGAATATGATATGTTAGTATCTCTTATATATGTTTGTACAACCAATGCAACCCATTCAATTGAGATATTTATGGAAATAATTAGAGTTCATTTATGATGATTTGAATATTTATGTAAGATGACTAGAGTTCATTAATTATGATTAATACTATATATTAGGAAACAATAATAACTTTTATGAAATCATATATTCATCAAATTAAATTGACGGTTGAGATTGAGTTGTATTGGTTGTACAAATGTAAAAGGTTGCATAATAACTCTCTCTCTCTCTCTCTCTCTCTCACACACACACACATATATATATAGGGGCATAATCAAATAAGAACTGATTAGTTTGTAGTAACTATGAGGTCCAATCTCAACCACAAATCAACGGATAAATTAGGAAATTAATAATTATGATAGTTTGAGTTAAAATTATAATTAGAGGGCATATTAGGTTTTTTTTTTTTTAAACTCTTCTCTCCTCTCTCATCTCTCCGACCTCCAATCTCCGGCCTCCGGTGAAATCGGTATCACAGTATATCACAATGGGTATCACATTATGTATCTTTGTTTTTAAGGTTTGAGTTGGTATCATAGTTAGTTTCACAATGGTATCACCGTATATCACAATGAGTATCACATTATGTATCTTTGTGATTACTTGGTACCTGCCGGATTAATGTTCACCGGAGGCCGGAGATTGGAGGTCGGAGAGAGGAGAGAGGAGTTTTTTAAAAATACCTAAAAAGCCCTCTAATTATAATTTTAACTCAAACTACCATAATTATTAATTTCCTAATTTATCCATTAATTTGTGGTTGAGATTGGATCTCACAGTTACCACAAACTAATCAGTTCTCTCTTGAATGAAC